ACACACACACACACACAAACACACACACACCATTCCAACCATAAACCCAAAACATGAGAAAGGGTTCTGTCACTGTTGATGAGAATATAGCGCCCCCCCGCTTCCTTTTCTACAGACTTTGGGCTTTTTAACTTTGCAGAACTTTTACATTCACAAAACAAACTTTCTATCACACTAAAGGAAATAAACCAAATGTTCTGCTTTAGAAACTTAAAGGAGAAAGCGTGTTTGCATATTTCATGTTATACTCTTATTTTGAAATAAAGCATTCAGCAACAGTCTACAGTAGCTGCATCCTGACACGGCTCTACTGACCCTGTGGCAAAGCTAATCTACTGATTTGAATCCAGCACAGGGATTCACATGTTAGGACAGTTTAGATGTGTGGATATAAGATGAGGCTGCCCTCAGTGAGAGGAGCGCAGGCTGCAAACAGGAAGAAGGGAGAAGAGCTGGGAACGTCTGGTGCAGGAGGAAACAGGAAGGAGGTGACAGGAGATGGATGGAGGAGGAACAGTGATGCTGCTCCACAGTTTCATGCTGAACACTGAACACAACAGGAGAAGCAGGGAGGGAGAGCTGAGGCGGTGAGCTACACACACACACACACATACGTGTGTGAATATATGTAAGCACATACACACACATATATATAATGTAGAATGTTTGTGCTGATGGTCAAGGCTGCATGATCCTTCATGTTTAGTTGTGGGTTTTATTTTACAGTCTTATATCTGCAAACTAAGAGGAAGGAACAATCCATACCCATAAATTCAATCCCCAGATGTTCTGTCAGAGAGGTGACACAGAAAACACAGTTGGATTTTACAGATGACGGAGAATTTGTTTTTACTTGAATACTTATGCACCACAGATCTACACAAACCAAAACTGTACTCCTCTAATCTCTCTGAGCACTTTATCAGGAACAGTTCACCAACACTGTAGTTTGTGTCCTTGATTCCATCTATAGACGAATGTGTTCTGTCTCTGACCAGCAGGGGGCGACTCCTCTGGTTGTTTCTATAGAAGTGTACCTATGTATTGGGGGGTGGATACCGCAGCGTGATTGACAGCTAGTACTATCCAATGGATGCAGACGGCAGAACATCACTGACGATTTCAACCCACAGTCATAACATGTCAGTGTGGATTATACTGAGTCTGTACCTTGAAAATACTCAAACTAATACTGACATTAACTCAAATGAAATGATTAGAATACAGTATCCTACACTCTGTATCCAGTGGTAAATACTTTTACTGCAGTAATGTGAGGATCAGCAGCAGGTGAAGCATTTGAAGATCCGACACATGTAGAAAGTGAGAGACACTGTCACTGTCAGAGACTTTGAAACGAGACAAATGAGAGTCATGATCCTGTTTTACCTGAAGTGCTGGAAAACGTCTGAAAGACAAAACAAGGAGTAGATGGTTGGATCACATCCCATCTATGACGACTGCAGCACCAGCTCAGGAATGACTCTGTGGGTTTGTTTGGACGATCGACAGAATGAGCTTCAACTGAAGCAACTCCCTCATGGAGCTGAACCGTCACAGTCCGAGTGATAGAAGCTGTATCACTGGTTCACATCACATTTTAAAAGCTCATTCAAACGTGTGCAGGGGAAAGTGTCCTTCAGAGCAATGAAGGATCCAGTGGGTGGATCCCGCTCATACCAACTTATCTCAGAATTCACTGCAAGTTGGTGACAAGCTAACGATACGGCAGCTTGGCAGCTAACCAAACAAAACCCTCATGGTCTTGAGCTCCGGATGGTGACTAGAACTATCAGGTCGTGAATGCAAGAGGCCAAAATGAGTTTTCTCAGTCGGGGGTTTGGGCTCAGCCTTAGAGTCCAGGGGCCTCATTTTTAAAACAGTGCCTAGGATTCATACTAAAAGTGTTCGTGCGCACAAAGGCCGAAAATGACGCAAAAAAAAAAAAGATTCCGATTAATAAAACCGTGCCCACGGACCTGAAGGCAACGTTGCCTTTATGAATCACAGTCACTGGAAACGAACATATGTGGATCTCGAAATGGGGTCTGAAATATGAGTGTGCGACGGTTATAAATGAGGCCCCTGGTGAGGAGGGCAGAAATCCAGAGAACAACCGCTGCTCCTTCATGTCCAAGGTGACAGTGGTTCAGGCATCTAGTCAGGATCCTCCTGGACGTCTTCCTTTGTAAGTTTACCGAGCACGAGGACTCAGGACCGGAGGGACTACATGTCCCATCAGGTCTAAGAACGCCTCGGGATCAACCAGGAGGAGCTGGACAGCGTGGCTCATATTCTACTGTGTGTGCGACCTCTGTGGCCCCAGGCCGGGGAGGCAGAGGATAATGAATGGGTGGAAATTGTGTCTTTTGTCTGTAACCGAGGGTGAAGGTGTGGTTTTTAAATAAGGCCACATTTTAACCTACAGAAGTTCTCAGGTTGAAGAATATGTGTATTTTTGGTAGTTTGAAAAGGAAATAAACTTAGTAGAACTACTACAGTACCACATGCAGTTGTAACATTCCTAAATATACTAAAACAAAGAAAGTTGAACATGCAGAAGGTTTCAGGGCTGCGAGAACCACAGATCTAAGGAGGAAGGTAAAGCGACAGGTGCACGGCACAAGAACTGTTAATGGAACATGCCCAGATCCAGCAGACTGAAGAGGAAGGAGACATACTGTAAAAGCTGGTCATTACATAGTTTTGGCAGCGATCACCAGTAAATTCATTTGGACACCTGAGTAGGAAATAAAAGAAACAGAGAAGAAGAAAGAGAGAACGAGTTAATTCATACAAGAGCTGAGCAATACCCACAGCAGTCATCACTGGTGTTGGCAGGAAGGGCCAGAAGACGTGTCCAGCTAGACGTGTCCAGCTAGACGTGTCCAGAAAGACGTGTCCAGAAAGACGTGTCCAGCTAGACGTGTCCAGATAGACGTGTCCAGCTATTGTCTGCGAGGCTGAGATCAGTGAATCATCTCAGACCTTCATACTCTGAGTCAATTCAAAGAGATGAGACCAGAAACCTGTTTTCCATCAAACTCTGGATATAAACCGTCCTAGCAGCAGACTGAAATTTGCATGTATGTAGAGTCCACTGAGGATCAAGCCTGTCTGTGATGTCGTCCTGTGTGAGGACAACCCGCTCTATAACAGAGAAGCATGGCAGTTAGAAAAGCCCTGACTCCTCCTGGTCTCCTGTTATAACCTCCACCGAGGAGCTGAGGCTTTCTTTGCTATTTGATTGTCTGTTAGCACAATGACATAAAAACTACTGGACTGATGTGATTGACACTTGGGGCGGGGCAACATTGCAGAAGGTCGTTGGTCGTGGTGGAGTCATGAGACTCTTCGATTGTCTTTTTTCCACTTTCTTAGACGTTGCTTGATGGAGGTTCCTTAACATTTTCACTGATTTCTCAGAGAACAATTAATGAATGTGAGGGAGCGTTAAAAAAAATCAATCAAAAACCGCTGCTTTACTGAGGACACAGTGTTCCTGTTTCTAACGGTGACTGGACAAATCGAAAAGTTTCACCTCTCATCTAAGACACTTTATAACTGAGGGGTGGAGAGTCCCGGGTATTTAACCTCTTCAGACCATTGGTGTCACCAGGAAGTGACATCACTGTCCAAGTAGTCACAGCCGGACAGTCTCCACAGCTCGGTGGCAGAGCTGGGGACGGTCTGGTTAAAAAAAGGAAGAGGAGTTTGTTCTGGCAGTGCCAAAGAAGAAGACTGCACTGAGTCACCACGCCTCGGGCGTCAGGAGGACGGGCCTTGTGGGCAATGACCATCAATCAGCAGCTTTACTCTTTGAGGGGGACACAGGGACTGGAACCCATCCAGGACTCTCAACCAGTCAGTCACAGCTGAAGACGCCTCTGAGACGAGAGGCGAGACGTCTTCAAGAATCTGCAACCACGTCCTGTTTGGTTCTTCTTGGACACACAGTGGACCATTGGGAATGAGGTTTGGATGTGGAGGACACCGTTTACCAGAGTGGTCTCCTGCGGTTTCTGACGTGATGGAGGTGAGGATGAATGGGAGGAGCATATGTTTCACCTTCAGACAAGCCTGAGATGGATGGAGCGTAATGAAATGTGACGTACATGCAAATTTCAGTGCCCTGCTCCACAGAGGAGAGAGTGCTACAGCCTTTGGACTCATTTAGGGGACGATGGCGACTGTATCACCAGATTTTATCGGCGTACATAACGGAAACGTGGATTTCTCCACAGTTTCTTGGAGAAAACATGAGAGGGGTGAAACACCAGCAATGACATGTGGGATTGAATACAGTTGTGTTCACATACGTTTTGGGTCTGAGACCGTCTTAAGCACAGCTTGTTCACATCGGTGCCCAGTGAATCCCGCCAAGCACCTGGTTGATGGGTAGAAACGACAAGAGATAAACAGCACTGACATGTTACACAAGACGTGGACACACATGGACGAACACACAGACATCCAGAGCACAGTGACAACACACGGCAGGATCCAGGAGACACCTGGTCTCAGGGCTCGTGTTAGAGCAGGACCTTCATCTGGGAACAGATTCTTTAACACACAGTTAAAGAACTACTGCATCAGGACACGTGGCAGAACTCACGCAGCACACGGGACTCGTGGTTTCTGATAACGACGTGACGGCCCCGACAACTCTGTGAAAAACTCTCCAGACTCCAGAAACTGCAGCAGCACAAACTTCCACAGTGATTTTCCCCTTTGCCCTGATACCTACCAGGTAGTAATGCAACTAGGATTGTGTAATCAGATTACAAAAACAAGTTACTATAATCAACCCAGGTTATTCTTGAAAAAGTAATATATTATATCAACATGTGGCAATATTAAAATTCAAACTTGCACTTGTACCTGCAGAGAAACTTTGTGCTGCCGGGGGTGATTTCCAGGGTGAAGCACTCTCCTCCGTTCACGCAGTAGTTCCTCTGGCTGTCGCTGCAGCGCGTCACATGACTGGAGGTCTTGGTTGTAGTGGTGGTGCTGGTGGCAGCTGCAGACGACACCGGGGTTAGTGGAGAAAGCTCAAACGTTACAGCTGGAAAACATTCTGACTGCATGTTTGTTAGAGCTATGTGGATTTTTAGAGGGGACCAATACCGATACATGGGCAGATATATGTATA